CTATAATAATTCTCCGTGCCCCCAGGGACCAAAGCCCTCCGAAACGTCACATTAATCCTGCCGCCCCCATCGCCCGCCCGTTTAGGAACACTATGCAACCAATTCGCCTGCGTCTCGCCCCTCATAACCACCATATCACCACTGGCAAGGGGGAACTTCAACGGCCCCGCCTGTATGCCTGGTTTATGCTTCAACAGGAAATCCCTCTTCGCGCCCAGCGACAAAGACGCAATGCTAGGGTTCGGGCCGAGGAATCTCTCGTCGTCAGAGTGGTAGCTTATACTATCTGTGTTTGAGGCGTAGTAGTTCACCAAGATGAAATTGTAGTAGTCAGACGGGGTGCCGGTCACGGATTGGATTGTTTGGCGGAGGTGCTCCAGACAGGCTGGGATTGGGCGTGGATGGCATTTGTATTTCGGGGTGTCGGTGGCGGTGAAGAGGAGGGTCTTGTTTGAGTCGCTTGTGAATGTGGATGTCGCGTCCACGCCGAAGACGGTCGTGTATCTTGGGGTCGTTATCTTGGTTGGGGTCTTGCCGCGGTGGATTGTGTACTGCACTTTGTGGAAGGGGAGGGAGTCGCGCAGGAAGTGGAAGAGACTGTTGGCTGTTTCGGGTGGGAGGAGTGGTTGGAAGTAGAGGAGGTCGAGGTGGGGGATGGTTGTTATGGGTTTCGGGGTGGAGGTTATGTTGGATAGGGCATTGGATAGGTGTGTAGGGAGGGAGGGAATTGGGAAGGGGTAGGTTGGGTGGTGGGTTGGTGGTTCTTGTTGTATATCGAGGGCGTTTGAGGGCTGGGATGGGTCAGGTGAGGAGGGCTCCACTTTGGGTTCTTGGGATGGTTGGAAGAAGGATTGGATTCGTTTCGACATGGTTCTGTGGTTTGGTTTCTGGTGTTGATTTTGTGGAAAGGAGCTTGTTTCTGGTTTTATATGTGATGTACCAATGGTAGCATGATGTCATACGGTGATCTCATCTGCTGGATGGTAAGGCTGAGTGGTTCCCTGGTTCCTGATCAGCCTTCGATCACTATCAGATCGATCGGATTGTGGCGTACAATTCGTCAATCGGGATCACTTTAATGCACCCTAGTTTATAGTTTATTTTCGGCAGGGAGTTCTAAGGAGTCGCCTGTGGTATATATTCTTATCTAAGTCTGAAGTGTACGAACGCGACTAATCAGAGTGGATTCATCTCAGGATAAGATACATGGCAACATAAAATGCATGTACTGCCTCAATCTGGGGGTAGCTAAACTAACATTTTGCACAGTACGACCACCATCACGTATCGAGCAGTTTGGCCTCAGACACACTATATTTGCACTGAGCCGTAGCCCTAAGATGCCACAGCATGGCTTCCGGACCTGCAAGAAATACAATGGACAAGGTGAAGGAGAAACGAAATACACCTCACTCATCCTGTGAGATATTTGGAACAATGAATTGCCCACCCTTCTCCATCCCACCAGTTAAGATCCTGTCACTATTAGACTCATCATGACTCAATCGAAATACCTCATATTTCTCGTCATGCCAATCTCTAGCGCTGATCACCCGACCCTTACTATCCTTATATTGCACTACATCCTCCGCTCTGAGAAAATAGGCGATACTGTACCGATGTTCCTCTTGGCGACCAGACACATTCCGGGGCACCACCCGATGAACGCATGACTTGAGCACATTCCCAGAGAGAAAGCGCAACGAGTCACCAACATTGATAACAGCATGGTCTTTCTTTGGAGCGACAAAGCTCCACTCCGATGTCTCAGGCGAAAGAACCTGCAAGCCCCATTGCTCACTAAAAAGGAGGGTGAGGGTTCCGATGTCGGTATGCTTATTATGACCAACCTTGTTCTCCTGCACCTCTTGCTTTGGGTATCGGAAGAGGGTCAGTGTGCTTCGTGATTTCCCGCCTGGACGATGTTTGTCCTCGAAGCGTAGACCGGAGCACAGATTGAACGCGTCGGAAAGGCGGGCCAGAATCGTCGTGGTGATGGTATCAGCGGCTCGGATGAAGCGGTCAAAGAGCTCGAGATTGTCTTTGGCGGTTTGCGGGAGTGATGCTGACTTTTCGTACATTTCTGAACGGGCAATCTGGTTGTGTTTAGTCTTCTGATAAGGGCTTCTCTCGGCCTTTAGGCTTACCTTCAGAGTCTCGTAGAAGTCCAGTGTACCGGGCACTGCTCCTGCTGAGGTTCCGCAGGGTTCATAGCTGCTTCTGGTTATTCAAAGAATGAGATTACACGTGGCTGGCTTACCCGTAGGTATCGCTACGACGGTCATCTTTCATCTTCGTCATGAGATCCTGGCTGAAGTATTTCTCCATGATGCGAAGGACCTGTTGCCAGTCATTGAGGACTGTTCCCACCTTTCTGAGGTCCAAGTAGAAGAATCCATGGGTTTTGCAGGCATCCAGGAGTCGCTGCGTCTCTTCGCCGTCTTTCGCTTCGAGACGTGCATGGTCAATGGTGGGCAGGGGAGCAATAGAGAAGTCGTTTTGGGTTTCAGAGCTTTGAACTGAAGACATAGTGCAACTGTACTATATTTGTGACAGAGGAAAATGATGTATCGTTTTGAGGATATCATCAGGATGCAGAAACCACCATGTGGATACATTTCTCTATTTATGTGCTGGTATCCGTAGTTCCAAGGTGACTCGATGTGATATAGTTGCATCAACTCATAAAATCAACGATTGTAGAGCCTCTTGCCATAGCAACTGGCGAGGTGCCTCGAACATTCGCCTTGTTTCACAGTGGCTCATGGAGTCATTCTAGCCTGCGATAGGTGTTTCTCGACCGTTATTCCTACAAACCGCGTGCTTGGCATGTAGATTGGTGTCACCTTGCTTTCCGGGTTCTCATGATCAGAGGAGGTCGGGGTGACAACGATTGTTTGCTATCGCACAAGTTCCATGGTAGTGCTTACGTAGCTCGCCCATGCCATACCCATCGTCAAGGTCTGTCTTCCAATGTCTCTCCAAGGGAGTACCATTGTGCGATTTCGCCAACCTCCAGTCAGGATTGAAGCGAACTGGCGCAGTCATATCACTGGGTCAACAAAATTCAACGTATTGAGTCTAAGAAATGCTTAGTTCATTGCCACAGACATGGTACAGTAGCAAGGCCCGTGCGCATCGTCGGTCTCCAAGGTTCAATGACCGCTCTTCATGGTCCGGCCACAGTGACAGGCGACGGTCATAGGGAACACCATGCTGACAATCATATCCAGCTAGCATACTGTGTGGATGCACACTCCATAGTGACCAATTAGTTTAGCCACATGCCTCACACTACCGCTAGCATAGCAACACTCGACGCCCAAGCGCCAGGGTCCATGAGCGAAGGCCATCTCTCTGCGATGAGCAGTTTCCTTTTTCGAGCGTGTATAACCCCACAAAATCATGTCCTAGCACGGGGAATTCGTTAGCTCGGTATGTAGTATTTGTCAAAGCGCTTGGTGTCATAGTTGCGTGGACTAGTAAATGCTTGCTTTTGCAGAAGATCGACAAGACATGGTCGGCGATCTGTTCTTAGAAGGATTATGGAGGATCATTAATCATTAAGACTTCGTATTACAGCTGCGCCGGCGATCAGACTAGGAGATTTATAAAGGAAGATCACTATAACGAAGCCGACTAATTAGTGAAGTCAATTAAGATTATTCCAATGCCAAGCAGAGAATCCTTCTAGTGTGGCCGAGTTCCAACCTTCACAATCCCTGTCGTTAATCTTCATACCTTCTAGATGAACTCTCTCCAGCACATATCCTCGGCCACATTGTGAACTCCCACGGCTTGGGTTTTTACCTGGAAATTCTGATAGACATGCTATTAAATAACATTTATAATCGGAACAAGAACCAAAACATCCCCAAAACAAATACGAGGTGACCAGACCCACCGACCCAGACCCGAGGAAAGCCCGCCAGGGACACGACAGACGATCTAAGGAGACAAGCGCCATGACAAATGGCACCACGCACTAACTAGTACGGAGTACTCCGTCGTTGGGACTGTTGGAGTCCGGATCCGGCTTTCATATGAATCTTTGCATAATACCTAGGACTATACATAGGAATAATCACATAATCACCGTTGTGGCAACCCCAACAACATGCCACACATCACATTCGATTATCAAATTAGGTCTTACTCGGAGATACTCTTGTCTCATCTCAGTTCTAGGCCGTACTCAAGGCCCCCTGCCGGGGAGAAAATCCCTCCGGCAATGACATCAAGACATGAAAAGTGTCAGGATGAGCCGCGGAATAAGCCGCGGAATTCCGATATGCAGCTTCTCCGTCCAAGTCGCTGAGCCAACAGAAAAGTGGGCCTGAGCTGACTCTCAACGCGCCGTCTCTTCCTCATTCTGCTTCTAGATTAATGGAATTGCAAATTAATACCCTTAATTTTAAAATGATTTCTCTCGCATAATTGCCACATGGCGTGCAATCAATTCCCTCACATGCCGAATAAGCTTCACTGGCGTTGATCTTCGTCGCTAGACCATCCTTCGTGTCGCATAGTCCATTTGTTATCGGTGCCATTGTTGGTCATGCGCGTTTGTTTCGAGAGGTCTGTTCGCGTGGCGATCTTTTGCAGCGATTGTTTTTTTTTCTTTTTCTGTTTTCTTTTTTTTTTTCGACTTTTTTTGGTGCATTTTAGGGCTGGGTTGTGAAGGATTGCCCTGAGGAGTTGGCCACTCTTGGCATGGCAATCCTATTCATCCTGGGACGATCTTTCGCCTCGACATCGAGGGGCAAAAAATGATATATCATAACCGTGTCTTTATTTGTAATGAGATGATGTGTTTATAAACATTAGCCACATCCAAAATGACATCACGAGGCCTGGAGAAGCCCATCGAAGGTATCAAGCTTTGGACCTGTAGAAAATCCTGTAAAACAAGCTCCACAAAAGAAAGAAAATGGAAAGGAAATCGAATATGCGTACAAAATGCCCCACCAAGGATATCTATTACAGAAGGAAAGGGAAAAAAAAGGGTCAAAGAAGGGAAAAGAAGGAAGGCGCGCTAAAACCGCGTGTGATGGTCGGAATGGCTCGAGGACGATTCTCCAGCCAGCACCTCCACTGTTTGCGATACGTCAATGGTCTTATGGATCCCGCCATCGCCGGTGGCGCTCATGTCGACGGTGCCTGCGTACGCAATCAGATGGCTCTGGTCGGATCCAAATTCGGGCTCCGTTCTGGAAGCCTTCGACCCGATGGCGGAGAATCCCTTGCTGTTGGCGCCCTTCATTTTGCTGAGGTGCATCGAGGACTCGTCCTGGTAGTACTTGTTCGAGCCGTAGCTGTAGCCAGCTTTGCGGATTTTGTTGATCAGGATGTTCATCGTCGGCAGACAGGCGCAGATGAGACCGACTCCTCCTTCCGCGTTACTAGTGTGGGGGGTTAGCTTTCTTTTTCTTTCTTTGGGCTCTGAGGGAGTGTTGGATGTGGACGTACCCTGAAAGAATCACACACATGAACATTACAGTTGTATTTTCCGAACGGCCGTCTTTCAAAACCAGGATCAGTCGGTAAATACTGAAGGCTGTGGCGAGTCCTCCAGCGGATAACATGCCGACGACTCGGAGCTTCTTGCTCCGCGACATCTGGAGCGACCAGGTCAGCGGTAGCGGCAGGACGAGGATCATAATGTCGCTAATGACGCTAATAACCGAGTCGGCGATCAATGCAGCTTGTTGATCTAGACAGTTGGCCGGTTCCATCGTCCAATATGCCGGGACGGGGTCGCACATGCGGATTTTGACAATTTCAGCGATGATGTAGTAGATGGTCAGACATCCGAGGAAAACATAAATGAACATAATGCGGCCCTTGTATGGTTTGAAGATTCGGATCAGGATGGAAAGCAAGGCGAATTTCACGAAGAGACTCATGGGGCAGTAAAAGACTGTCGCGACGTAGCAGAACTAAGCGGTCAAGTCAAGATCAGTATGGCCGAACGTCGTTCCACGGCTGCAGCGGTGCATACCTTGCGGAAAGTAACCTGCATTGCGTCTGGAACCAGTTCATGATTCACTCCTCCACCATATTGACCCACTGATGCCCTTGTTAGTCTTGTCAATGGCGACGTACTATTGACAGATGTTGACTTACCAACAATGGCAATTCCACAGTATGCCATGAACAGAATCTGCGGATGGTTAATGGATGCCTCCCCCCGTTGGACATTAGGGTACTTGCCCATGCTAGAAAACAGAATGCTAGATTCAAGTCAGTAACCGTGGGGGTTTCACGAATTTAACACGGCACATACTATCTTCGGCGACAACGAACTGCTTATACCAACAGCGGATAGCGAACCGCGTCGCCACGAAAATGGTGACGATAGGAATGCACAGGCATTGTGTAACGAGGTTGATGGTATTCAGAGAAGACCCAGGATGTGTTTCAGTCATTGTTGATGCCAACAATGGAGCATTATGGAGGCTCAACTGGAGAGGGAAGAAGAAACAGAAGAGATGCAATGTGGGCGAGTCCACAATATATCAATGGCCCATACCAAGAGCGATAGGAGTGACCCCATCGATCGTTCTTATGCATAAAATCTCCCGTTCTGATAGGCCACGCTGGGGGCATCAAAGCGTTTGGAGTCTCCTCTCTGGAAAAAATACTCGGGAAATGCTTGCGAACCTACGGAACATTGACTGTTAAAGTGTGGTAGAGGACCCGCCACCGTGCTGCAGTGGAAAAATCTAGTTCTACCTTGGCCAGCAGGAGGCAAAATGGGGATGTACATCCAGATCGATCTTGATAGGTGCACCGACTTCCCCGGAAGACGCCGGCGGATGGCTTGGAAAGGAAAATGATAGACGCCACTGAACCATGGGTTGTTTCAGTACTCCGTAAACTCCGTCGAGTATCACTCCCGAATACTACGTCGACAGTCGGTGGAGTGGAAGACTTTCTGTCAATTAGGCAATACATGGGGCGAGTGGGGCGTCTACGCAGTAGTTCATACTACGGAGGAATGCTCCCGCGGCAGCAACACCAGCAGTTTGGTACGGGTTAAACTGCCTTTCCCCTTTTTTACCTGCTTGGGCTTGAGCAGACTTGGTATAGTCGATTTATGCTCGAATAGGTGATGGTAGTATTAGCCTAAGTGGTCCAGGCAGCATTGGAAAAATTTCAGACGGCGCACACGCCACGACTCCACGAATTCAACTAGTAGGCCATTCGTGCATTGGCTTGCCTGTCCGGCGCTTGAATGATTTGAACTATCAACTCAATCACTATATCCGGCACTTTTCAACATGTTTTTGCGACTATCGTGGAAGTTAAGGGGTGCGAAGCCTGAGAAGAACCGAGAGGGCTCGGCAAGAATGACACCACTGACCGTTGGCGAGAGCCAAGATCCAAACAGAATAAATAAGGGGAAGATGGGAAATCATTGACAGAACGCTGCCATTGGTGCTCTCCCACTCTCGGTTGAAATGAGGCCGACCATTGTGGTGGTTCTCCTGCTAACCCTAAACCACTAACACGAAGGAAGTTTTTCG